TTCAACCGAGTGATCATGTAGGTTCTGAAGACTGCATACTCGTATGTCATCATACTACTCACAAATAAACTGGCACGCAGAAATGATGCTTCATTTCAGTTGGCACAGATAAATTTTTTCTCACCTCACCTTCCCATGCAAGTTCCATGACAATCTTTTGGTAACACCATAAAACTTCCATCACCATGACTTTTCCCTATGGTTGTCAAAACACTTCCCATTTTTCAACAGATCTCTATACTGCAGAAAAAGTCTTCTGTCTTCTCTGAGGTTCTAAACCAGAAACTATCATTTTGTGTAGACTGACCTTCACTATGAAAACTGACCATTCAATGTCTTTCAGATGCTTCTGTATTTATTTCAGTGGTGTATAGTTGCCTACAACATTCCCTCCATAAATCTGCTGTCTTCAAATTGAAGCTTGAAGATACCCAGAAGCTACTGCTTCCCCAGTACTTTGTTCCAATGGTTAATCTGTCCTCACTGTTAAAAGCTCACACCCTATTTCTAACTTGAATTCATTTGGCTTTAGCTTCAAGTTCCTTCTCTGCTCATCTGCTCAAGACAAGAGACACTTTATTACCAAGTATTTCCATTTCCATAAAGAACTGTCTACCACACAGGCAAGACATCTCTGATCTTCTTCTGATAAAACTAAACAGGCTGAGCTCTTAAGTATTCCAAGTTATAAAAACTGTCAGTCCAAAACTGCACTGTAATACTGCTAAAGGAAATGTAATGCATTTTGGGATAAGAAAAAAAACCAATTATTTTTACTTTCTAGGATCTTATGCATTGAAAATCAGTGATAAGAACTTTAGATTCAGTTGGCTGCTTAAATATTACTTTTATGGTAGTGTTACAGGAGTATATCTGGGCAGAAAGGGCTAGCATGATGTTTGGATATATGAGTATATGAAGCCTGAATAGCAATAGGGAAGCAAGGGTTTCCGCTTCTGTAAGTGTAGACACTAGAGCTGAATGCAGATGGATATAGGGATTTTCATGCAGGAGCATAATTAAAGGTTAAATGACAAGTTTTACAGTGTGAAGCTTATGAAAAATGACTTATATGGGCTAGTGGATTACAGAAGACTTGTTGACTGGGTATAGGTAGTTATACAGGACAAAGAAGTCTGATTGTAAAGGAAGAATAGGATGTTTCAACCTTGCTGAAAAAAAAGCATAGCAAGAAAAAATGTCAGGATGTTGATATTAGGAAAAAACTATTTCAAGAGAAGATGCAATTGCCTTATAAAGCAGGTAATTAATAAGAAAACTGATGACCAAGAAAGATGAGCTAATCCTTACTTGATGTTTTTAAAGTTAGATTACATGTCCTTCTAAAAACAGAATTAAATCCAGCTGCAGGATAAATGCTACGGCCAAAAAGGTTGACAGATGTTTTCTGCAGCCTTGAAGAAAAGAGTTTGTAAACCTTTTTGGGACAGGACACTGGGCTAAGAGAATGTAAAAGGAAAGTATCACTATATAACTACTTTGTCCTTACAGTAAGCCCTAGGCACCCAAACCCAGCCACTGTGAGAGACAGAATACCAAGCCAGACAGACCTCTGGTCTGACCCAGTGCAGCTTTTCTTATGTCGTTCATCCCATTTCCTTCAGAGGCTACAAAGAAAAGAGGTCAGCTTTGCAAAACCCTGATCATCCTCATAATACTGGCAGCTCTGCTTTAAGACAGTGAATACTCTGGGTTATACACGCAGGGCTCAGCAATACTTCCTCTGGTTATTGTCTGCAGGTATGTGTCTTTTGCATCTTTCTCTGACAGAACAGGCTGTGCCAGTCCTTTTGCCACTTTTACCAATTCTTTGAGTTGGTACAAGCATTCTCTTCTCCTGGTATGCCAGTTAACACATCTTTGTCAACGCACTGGAGTCACACTAACAGCCAGGTTTGGAGCTGGGAAGGCGTTTGACCCACATTAAAGTTGAGAAGGATGTTGAAGGACTCTTCTGTCTCCACAACTCCATCTGCATGTCACCCGACTGAGGGCCAGCCACGCACCCATCTCTGGGCACTGGTGATAGTTTAGTCTCCCTGCAATTGCCTATGGCACAGTTTACTTTCTTAAGAAGGAGACACTGGTATATTTAAGACATTGTTTTCTATGCCAAGTTCAATCCTTGTACTGGGTAAAAGTTAATGGCCTAAGATAATCTTGTCCTGCCTTCTGTAAGGCAAGTGGCCCCTTATGCTTTATGCCTTAAGAAGCATTGCTGTAAAGTATTTTTCCCATATTTGATGGTACAAAAGCAGGATGTCTCAAGCACAAAACACAACTTGGAATAGAATGCAGGGGACAAAGACACACTAATGCAGCATCACAATGAGAACAGAAGTTTGTCCTCCTTTGATAGTCTCCTAACAGACTATTAAAATACATTTTCTGAACAAATGACTGGTAGCGTCCTTCATTTTTGCTTCACTGAAATGTTCTCTGGTTATGAAAGTGTTCCTCAAGACAAAAAAGCAAAGTTCTTATCCACTTTACATAATTCCTTTTTGATATCCAGGCACATGCATTTTTTTTTTGTAGCATCTTCTTTCTTCAGTGCAGAAGGGGTTACAATAAAAGAGGCACTCAATCACCCTTCTCCTTGCCCTTCCTCCAATTTCCCTTCTCATCCTCTGCCCACTGAGCAGGTCTGCAACAGCCACAAAGTAACAGCATGAGCTTCTACAGTTGGAAGGACAGCACTAACCATCCCAGTGTCATTATTCAGGAATGCTGGCAAGACACACCTCTGCGTACCACGATCATGAAGGTAATCTATCATTCAGTAGCACTAGGCCCAACCTCTTACGATCTTCACTCCAGCTACTGTTTTGTTGCCTTCTTCGCTCTTTGCTGTACCTTACCTTAAAATCATAAATCCGTAGGGCTAGAAACGACGTTCTTTTAATTTGCATTTCTCCAGTACCTACCAAACTGGGCAGTAAGCCTCACTAGAGCTCACTGGAACTACTGGAAACATGCAAACAACGACTAAATGCGTTCCTACCAGCTCTTGATTTCTTTCTCACTGAACATCCATCTTCTCCCCATACAAAAGTAAAGCCCTGTTTGCAAAAGTATATCTTTAGAGGACTGGTCTCTGTCATCTACGAAAAATTGTGGCAATTGCATGAAGTCACCAGTGACAGGAAGGGGTACACATCATATCACCTTTCTAAAGAGGCAGGAAGGAGGATCTGGGGAATGACAGGCTGGTCAGCCCTACCTCAGTCCCGTGTAGCTTTATGGAGCAAGTTCTGCAAGCCATTTCCAGGCAGCCAAAGGACAAGAAGGTGACTAGGAACAGGCAGCCAGATTAAATGAGAAAAAATCATGCCTAAGAACCTGACTGCCTTCTATGATGAAATGACAGGCTCTGTGGACGTGTACAGAGCAGTGCATGCTGTTTACCTTGACTTCAGCAAGCCTCTTCATGCAGTCTCTCACAGCATCCTTATAGCCAAATGGTGGAGCTATGGACTGGATGCCTTCCCATAAAAAATGTCAGTGAGAAACCGCCTAAACTGTCAGGCTCAAAGAATAATGATCAATGGTTAGAAATCTGTGTGATGCCCAGTTATGAAAAGCATGCCTCGGAAGACAATACTGGGATCAGTATGCTCAGTAATCATTAGTGAGCTGGTGGAAAGAGACAGAACATACTCTCGGCAAGATCAGAAATAATGGCATGTTGGGGAGGGGAGCCACTGATATGCTGGAGGGTGGGGGTAACACCCAAAGGAACCTTCACAGACTGGAGGAATGAAGAGACAGAAACCTCATGAAGTTCATGAACAGAATAGAACATTTCAGTTGGAAGGGACCTACAACGATCATCTAGTCCAACTGCCTGACCACTTCAGGGCTGACCACAAGTTAAGTATATTATTAAGGGATTGTTCTCTTAAACACTGACAGGCATGGGGCACTGATCACCGCTCCAGGAAGCCTGCTCCAGTGTTTGACAACCCTAATCTCAAGTCTGAACCTCCCCTGAACTGATGCAGCTTTGGACCATTCCCATGCATCCTGCTACTGGACACCAGGGAGAAGAGATCAGCACCTCCCTCTCTGAAGCTTCCTGAGGAGGGGCTACTGGAGAGCAATGAGGTTGCTCCTCAGCCTCCTTTTCTCCAAACTAGACAAATACAGAGTCCTTAGCCACTCCCCAGAGGACATGCCTTCCAGTCCTTTCACCAGCTGTGTTGCCCTCCCCTGGACACATTCAAGTACCTTCACATCCTTTTTAAATTGTGGGGCCCAGAACTGCACGCAATACTCAAGGTGAGGCCACACCAACACTAAATACAGAGGGATAATCCCCTCTTTTGACTGCCTGGTTATGCTGTGTTTGATGCACCCCAGGATGCGGTTTGCCCTCTTGGCTGCCAGGGCACACTGCTGGCTCATACTGAGCCTGCTGTCAACCAGTACCCCCTGATCCCTTTCTGCAGGGCTGCTCTCCAGCCACTCTTCTCCCAGTTTATACTTGTGCCTGGAGTTACTCTGTCCCAGGTGCAGAATCTGGCATTTGTTCTTGTTAAATTTCATGCCGTTGACGATTGTCCGATGCTCCAATTATCTAGACTCCTCTGCAAAGCCTTTTCTCCCTTGAGAGGGTCAACAGCACCTCACAGTTTAGTATCATCAGCAAACTGGCTACTGGCTCATTCAACTCCTGCATCCAGATAATTGATAAATATATTGAACAGAACTATCTTTAGAATTGAGCCCTGAAGAACACTGCTAGTGACTGGTCACCAGTCAGATGTAGCCCTATTCGAGCCCTACCACAACCCTTTGAGCCTTACCGTTCAGCCAGTTCTTCACCCAGTGCACCATGGACTTGCTCATTTCACAGCTGGACAACTTGTCCAGAAGGATGCTGTGAGGGACAGTATCAAAAGCCTTACTAAAATCCAGAAAAACTACACCTACCACCTTCCCTTTGCTCACTAGTTGCATGACCTTATCACAGAAGGGTATCAAATTATTTAGACAAGACTCTCCCTTTGTGAACCCATGTTGACTGTGCCTGATGATTGCATTGTCCTTTAAATGCCTTTCAATAGCACCCAATATTATCTTCTCCATAATTTTTCCAGGTACTGAGGTTAGACCAACATGTCTGTAGCTTCTTGGGTCTTCCCTCAAGCCTTCCTTGTAAATTGGAATAACACTGGCTAGCTTCCAGTCAACAGGGACCTCCCCAGACTCTCAAGACCTCTGGTAGATGATTGAGAGGGGTCCTACTGTAACATCCACAACACCTTTAGTATTGTGGGATTCATCCCACCTGACCTCGTAGACTTATGAACATTCAACTGATACAGCTGGTCCCTTACAATTTCAATGTCCACACATGGAAAGTCACTGTTTCCACAGTTGTGGTCCTCCAACTCAGAGGACCAGGCAGCCCAAGGTCTATCAGTAATTATTAGAGACTGAGACAAAAAAAAGCATAGAATGCCTCCACTTTTTCTTTATCCCAATTTGTCAGGTGACCATCTCCAACATGTTTTCCTTAGACCTCCTCTTGCTATTGAAGTACTTCAAAAAGCCTTTCTTCTTGTCTGACACAACACTGGCCAGTTTCAACTCTAATTAAGCTTTAGCCTTTTGTGTTTTCTCCCTGCATATGTGAACCACAGCTCTGTAGTCTTCCTGCAAAGCCTGACCATGCTTCCAGAGATTACACAATTTCTTTTTCTTCCTGAATTCCAAGAGGAGTTCCCTGTTCAGCCAAATTGGTTTTCTGCACCGCTCGCTTGACTTTCAACACAATGGAATTGCCTGCTCTTGTGCTATTAAAAGGTGGTTCTTAAAAACTGACCAGCACTCATGGACCCCTAAGCCCTCAAAAGCAGATTCCCAGGGGACACTCCTAACTAGCTCACTGCACAATTTCAAACTATCTCTCTTGAAATCCGGGATAGCAATTCTGCCAATCATTTTTGTCATTACATCAAAAATTTTAAGCTCAACCATTTCGCCATCACTGTGGCCAAGACAGCCACCTACCATCACATCTCCCACAAGTCCTTCTGTATTCACAAATAAGAAGTCTAGGAGGGCATCCTTCCTAGTTGGCTCACTGAACACTTGTGACAAGAAATTATCTTTGACATACTTCAGGAATTTCCCAGGCTTGTTTGTCACAGCAGTATGGTGTTCCCAGTTGATGCCTGGGAATTTGAAGCTTCCCATAAGGACAAGGAGAGAAGACAACTGGAGAGAAGACAAACCTGGGAGAGACTGGGGAGTCCTAGTGGACAAGAAGTGGAATATAAGCGAGCTGTGTATCTTTGAAGCACTAATCACATACTGGACTGCCTTAGTAGAAGCACAGCTACCAAATCAAGGCACGTTATTATTCCTTTCTACTCAAGCAAACCACATCTGAAGCACTGTGTCCTTCACTGTGAGTGCTGTGTGAGTACGGTGTGAGTTCTAAGGAATTTGCCTTGGAGGAAAAGAGACAAAACAATGAGCCCAGTTCATTCATCTAAGAATGCTGCAAATATTCAAATCTGTATCAAGCTACTGAAGTCTGAAGATGAATTTTGATAAATACCCTGGGGTAACAAGACAGATAATTTATTTAGCTTGTCTACCACTCAGGAGAATCAAATTTGGTTGAGAGCCTGACTGACCTGCAAATGGATTCTAACCCAGAAATAGGAAAGACAGGACAGCTACAAGAACTTCAGTCTCCTTGCACTTCCAGAAAGTTGCCATAGCAGGAAGTATGGCTTACCAGGATAAGGCCTGCCACAGTTACTCTTCAATACTGCCACAGGTACCTTCAACCTTTAAAGGCAAGGAAGACCTCGTAGGAGCTTACAACCTAAGTAAGGGCTTAACCAGATGAACAGTATGACTGACCTCAATAGGAAAATCTGATAAAGTACCTTTCCCTGCCCCCAGCGAAAAATCATGTGAAGTCTGGCAACCCCCTCCCCCCACCACAATGAGTGAGATGAAGGCCACCGATTCCCTAACACCTCAAATACTTCTCTTATAAAAGTTTTAGAACTGTCCTGACACCACAGAAGAAACAGAACTACTCTGAACAATACTCAGAATGTAGCAACATATATCAGAATTGGTTTTAAAAAGGGAAACACAACAGCCAAAATTTAAAATTTTAGCTGAATGCTCAGTAATCCAAGTAAGTCTGTTGAATAGACTCAAAACAAGAGAGGCTGTGGAGGATCCTTCATGAGATTAAAAACATTCAATTGCACAAATGCTCTTTTAGGGAACCAGTCCCTGTCACTGAAACAGCCTGCAAGTTGGGCTACAAGGCTTCCAATCCTAAAATTTATCTGCAGGTTTTCAGGAGAGTGTGACCACCTTTCCTCTTCACTGTGTTCATGAGTACTAGACAGTCAAGCTACTACTCTTTAGGTTTACCTTCTCTTTGTATGTTCTATATTACAGCCCCTCCAGAGCTGAGACTTCCTGTACTACCTCTTAAGCACCATTGCTCAAAATAAGTACAAAATAAGACAATACAAGGACTACTTTAAAACAGGAACAGTCCCCTCTCCACAAAACCCTTACAGCTTGTCCCATAATCCAAACTGACCTGTGTACTCCTTCAGCAAGGTAAAAAGACTTTCCCTGTTCTAATTGGTTCTAAAACGTACCACTGTAAAAAAAAAAAAAAAAAAAAAAGAAAAAAAGAAAAAGGTTTTGAGAGGGATTTACATGGACCAATCTGACAGTTTGCTTGGGCTGCGAAATATAAATCCAATTTGGATCTCTCCCCAAGAATAAGTAGGTATTAGGGGATCAGACACAGACAGTGTGTCTGTAATATAACTGTATTTGTCAATCATGTTTTAGTGAGTCATTCAATTTTTGGTTTGTGTATGTTATGACCATTTAACTTTTCAATACAGAGTTAAATATAAATCACTGCTTTATATCCTCACAATCAAATCCACCCCTCAGCTGTTTGATTTATAAGGGAGAGCACACTGCAAAACCACTAAAACCATACAAATTTTGTTACCTACTGAAGAGTGTTAACTGCACCTCTACATTGAAAATTAATTTTACAAGCTTAAAACCAGTCCTGTCTGAAAGCTCCACCCAGTGAGGAAAGCAAAGAGTTCTATGCATACAAATATACCCTATTTTAAAGGACTTAAATAGCCATGAGGCCACCTTGACACATGCTGTACAGGTATATATTCTAAAAACACAGCCCAAAAGAAGCTCCAGAGTAATTCAATAAAAGTAAGTGGAGTGTGATCAAGAATTCAAGAAAAGAGAGGGAAGAAATCACTCTCCATATATTCTTCCACACAGAAGGTAACAGGGGACCAAGTGGAAGTGCAATGAAAAGAGAATCTCTTTAGTGTATACTGCAGAGTAAAGTACAATCATCCATAGGTAGAGTCACCTCCAGTAGATATAGCAGACAATACTTTTTGAAGGGAGGGAAAACATGAGACAGAAGTGGTCTGATCAATACCCAGAATGCTCTGAACTCAGGTGATACTTTAAATAGCTTTTTTGTTCAATGGCATGTTAAGTTCAACGGCAAGCATCCTTTAGAAATCCTAACAGTCATTTTTTAATTTATACACCAAGAAAGGGAAGTTTTGTATAACCTCTACCAATATATACCCCAAGGATATTCAAGGGCCCAGGTTCCTTTCCAGGACACCAGCTTGCAGATTAATGTCCAAGTAGTTCTCCCAAATCCTAATCCATTAGGAGATTTAGGAAAGAACATGCAATACACAAGCAAGAGTAAAAACATTCAGATCAAGGGAGAAGGAATAGGTCTAATGGACCATGCTGCCAGCGAGCCAATGGCAATTTCCGAATGGACAAGCACCGTATTTGCTTCGCTAGAAGCAACATGATTCGAGTCCATTAGCATATGGCCTGAAAACATTCTGCTAATACAGAATTCAGGTTCCATGTTTGAACTTGTTTGCATTCCCTCCTCATTCCCCAGCCAAGAAATCCTCCTGGCCTGGAAGAAAGCAGGGAGAGACTTTTGCCTCCCTGGGCAGTAGTGGGACTTTGACCCAAAAAACGCCAAATGCACAAACAAGCAACATGTCCGGGGGTGAACAAAGATCTGAAAACCCAAAAGAATCTGTACATGACCCAGCACATATGAGCTGGCATCAGGGAAGGAGATGAATGCATAATAAATACAGCAATAGCAAGAACAAGTTTAAAAGCCGCTGCGGTCCCAACACTCATTACCTTTTTTAAAACATAGATTCACAAACATGATTTAGGTATGGGGGGCACGCAGATCAGTCTGGATGATGGCACGCATCATGCGCCAATACTGAAGATATCATTACTGCCAAACAAGACGTTTGGTGAAGACACACACCAGAGTCAAACACTTCCAAAATCCATCAAGCTTTTACAGTTGCAATGCTTCCTCTTAGCTGTATCCAGGGTTCTTCTCTGGTGGCATTTTAAAAAAGTTACTGGAGGCAGTAGTAGTGGCTTTTTCAGCTGCTGGTGTTCTCCCTGTCCACTCAGAGTTCTGGGGTCTCAGGGATGGTGTTGCTGGTAGCTCTGACTCTGCTGCATCCAAGTGGACAGATAAAGTTGCTGGAATATAAAATTGCGGGAAAGGGGGAACAGAGGAAGAGAGGAAGAAAGGGCAATTAAAAAGTTAGAACAAGTGACTTCGTGGCAAATGCCTCATATATATAATTTATTATATGAAGTTGTTATTTACTGAGTTGCTGCAAGTTCCCCCACCAAATTCCTTTGAAATACAGGTTCTTGATAGCATTAAGACCTTTGCCCTAATGATTCTCACATTCACAACTCCAAGTTCCCAGTCGACTAACTAGTTCCCTCGAAGTTCCTACTGAAAATCAAGAGCTTTAAATGTCCCATAATTAAACTGTATCAATTCATAATCACTCAGATGAAGATAACCTGATTGCTCCAAAGACTCAATTAACCCTGTATCTGAGAATTTCGAAGTCTCTGAAGGCTATTTTTCATGTTGCAAAGCTCAGTTAGAGAGGAAAATATATTTCTCCTCTTTACCCAGTAAAGGCAGTACCACGAACCTCCACATATATCCAATATGGTAAATCAGCATATTATAACAAAAAGCTACGTGCTAAGCTAGGTTGGAATCCATTCCCATTTTCTCAGTACAACCACTGCTTCAAAATGGGACAGGCTATAATTAGCAAGAGAGATTTGCAGATCCATAGTTCAACCCAACAGTCACCCAAATTTCCAGAAGGTCTGCCAGAAACTTAGAGATATGAGAGTTTACTCCCATTCTCAGTATCCCAAATCACTTGATCCTCACAAACAGAACAGGGCAGGATTAAAAAAAAAGAAAAAAAGAAAAGAAAAAAAAAAGAGTAATTGCCACAGGAGTCTTTGGGGCAACCAGAATCTTTTTGAACAAGTAACTGCTTCAGTAGGAAACACATCTCTTTCTCATTGTATTCTCACAATAGATAATAGTTGTTTGTGTGTTTTTATTACAAGTTGCATCTGCTACTCTGTAGTGGATGAAGGATAAAGAGGCCACAACAAGCCTCAACTAGAGGACTGATTGCTTTGAAGTTTAAATAAAATGCTGGTTCAATGCTTGAGGTTCCACACTCAGTAGATCTGGAACCCAAATAAACTGCTTCTGGGCATCCATCATTCCCATACAACCACAACAACACAGCTGATAACAATACATTGCATATTTTAGCTCTAGCCCATCAACTTCCTCCATCTGAAGGTCATATGAAACACACACAAAAAAAAAAAAGTAAGTCAACGTCCTTAAACTAATAATGACCACCAATATTACACTATGGGCGCCTCATTAGCAGCCTCCCCACTCAGGCTCTCCATCTTTGCTCATAAAAAAAAAAAGCAAAGGACTGAAACAGGCTTCTTGCTACTAGGTACCATCACACCATGACAAAGAGTGAATGCATTAGCAAGAAATAGGAGAAGGAAAATTCCCCAAATCAGTACTACTCAGACTGTTCTCTGATAAGCAGTTTCAGAGGCTGCTAACTGGCACTATTTAGAAATTATTATTTTTCACAAGCCAAGTGTGAATACGTGCCAAAGCAGACAAGTATCTATTTATGCAGATTTTTTACTCCAGACTCACTGTAACACCTGAATAGGATGCCAGTTACCATGTGCACTGCTATATATATAGGAGACTGGCCCGCATAAACACTAAAAGCCTTAGTTGTCAAGCTGAACAGTTGTTCACCATTTCTTTAACAACCATCTATACTCGTGGCCTATTCTGACAAACAGAAGACAGACATGACAGTCTTCATCAGATCCCTTTCAAACCAGAGAAAAACTACCATGAGAATAACATTTTATACAGTATTTCTCAGGCAAGCTCTACTGTAGATTATTCGAAATCTACTGCACTGCAACGGAAAGTAACTAAACACAAGGACACCATCCATATCTTTTGAGACCCCCTAAGTCTTAGATCACTGAAAGTTTGAAGGCTCTTTATCACTACAGACTTTCTTCTTCCCTAGGCACTGGCTGTTGGTCACTGAGTTGGATGATCTTCTGGTTTAATCCAGTACAGCCAAGTCTTACTTCCTCCAGATTTCCTTATTCTACTGCCAAACTACACCAGCCAGACTCCTATTCTTACCTGGTGAAAGCCTTGTGCTTTAGGGCTCACACACTGCTCAGTTATCTAGGGTGGAAAGCACTAATTTTCGTTTCCAATCTCTCTCAACATTTGCAGAAATTTGCCCAACTTAATTTTGATAAAAGTCACTTCCTGAAGTGCAAATGAATTCTGAATTTTCTATCCACTTTTTATTGCTCTCAACAGCCACCCCTTTTTCTAAAATGCTATTCTTTAACAGCTATCTCAGTTATGGTATTTAGGCCAGTTAGCCTCAAAGGGCAGGACTAATACCAGAAGTTTGAAGCTATAACAATACAGTAGAGACCTAGGCACTTCTGCTACAGTATTGCATGTTTTCTGACGTTGATACAAGGGTCTCTGACAAAAGATGCCTTACCAAAACCCATAAATACTCACATTCATGAAAGTATGTGAGAAGACACGGAATGAACTTAGTTTGCCTGGCTCCCAAATAAACATATCTCCAGCTCCCTTCTCTCATTCCTGCAGCTAGAAGGGAGATAGCATCCACATCTCATAAGCCTTTTATTAGCATCTTCTGATATCAGCCAAAT